AGCAGAGTAGGCGCCTATTCTGCATTGATGGCGAACCTGTGGCCGCGTGCCCACAGAAAGGGCCCGGCGTGCCACCTGTGGCACGCGTGCCATAGGTTCGCCATCACTGCTTTAAGTCATCAGAAATAATCACCCCTAAATCCCTTTCCTCAGATGTTAGGACTCTATCAAATATTCTGTACTCTGCCCTTGGGTTTTTACGTCCAAGATGCATTATCTTGCACTTATCCACATTAAATGTCAGTTACCAAAACTCTAAGAAGGCTTCTAAATTGCCTATCTCAGAATAAATATGGGGGTTTAGTTCAACCATATGGCCATATGATGTTAAGCCCACCACTGCTTTCAAAGTACCCCAATGTTGGTGGGTCCTACGCTAAAATGTGGGGGACAAATTAAATAGTAGTAGTGTTAAAAATAAAGTGTATTATTAAATCCTTGTAAGAGCAAAGTTTTTTTCATGTATGAAGTTTGGTCACTGGGGCAGCATCTTTCATGCAAAATGCAGGTCTTGGGTGTGCCCCCAATCCTTTCTCTGTACACAGTATATTTGGAATTCAGACCAGATTCCTTTTGGGGTTAAGCACCCCACCTAGCCCCCCCAGCTTCAGAGGCCCCTTTAGAGGTGGCCACAGGTGTGTGTATATATAGGAGGAGTTTTCAATAGTCAAGTCACTTTTATTATTTTCTCCATTCAACACAGATATCATCTGCAATAGTGAGTATATTCATTCTAGCACTAACACTTTGTTTAGTTTTAACACTGTTTTTAATTGCTTTCATCACTTTATTTTGCATACTCCCTTTGCTCTTACAAGGATTTAATAATACACTTTATTTTTAACACTAGTACTATTTAATTTGTCCCCCACATTTTAGCGTAGGACCCACCAACATTTGGGTACTTTGAAAGCAGTGGTGGGCTTAACATCATAAGGCCATATGGTGGAACTAAATCCCCACATTTATTCTTAGATAGGCAATTTAGAAGCCTTCTTTGTGTTGTATTTTTTTTTGTAGTCTGAGTGTGCCGCAACTATTTTTTTTAGTTGACACAACTCTGACCATTTTTCTAGTTTACTTAAATCATTTGCCATTTGGCTTATCAGCAAAAAGACATACCTTACCATCAAGACCTTCTGCAATATCACTAATAAAAATATTAAAGAGAATGGGTCCAAGTACAGATCCCTGAGGTACCCCACTGGTGACAAGCCCAAGCTTCGAATATACTCCATTGACTACAACCCTCTGTTGCCTGTCACTCAGCCACTGCCTTACCCATTCAACAATATTGGAATCCAAACTTAAAGATTGCAGTTTACTGATAAGCCCTTTATGTGCAACAGTGTCGAAAGCCTTACTGAAATCTAGGTAAGCAATGTCTACTGCACCACCCTGATCTATAATTTTAGTTACCCAATCAAAAAAATCAATAAGATTAGTTTGGCATGATCTCCCTGAAGTAAACCAATGTTGTCTCTGATCTTAAATCCATGTGTTTTTAGATGTTCAACAATCCTATCCTTGGGGCGGGGCCTGACCGCCATGCTGACCGGTCGCAGGCCGGAGAGGCTCCTGATCAATCAGGTCCAATATGGCTAAAAACTTAAGCAATACAGCAAACTAAGTGACCTGAAAGCTATATCAAGCAGCCGGGCAGAAGCTGGTGCCACCGCAGACCCTGAGATCGGGAGTGCCAGAGCCCCCTGCGGGCGATACGGGACTTCGGGGTTTGCGGCCTATGAGGGTGGAGAACGGGACGGACGGCCGCTGTCCTGTTTGCGAACCTGGCCGCCACGCAACAGCCTTGTGATGCACCTCACAGGCCTCGCCTCCCCCCCATGGACCGGGGGGGTCATCCCGGTCCCCACCGGAGGGAATCATCGCCCTACAAAGCCCAGCACCGAACCTACCTGGAGGCGCGCACCACGAGCCGGGCCTCTAAAATGGCGGCACTGCAATCTGCACTGCACCACAAACCTTGCATGCCTGCAGACGAAAACAACCCGCCGAACCATACCCTTACTAAATAAGCCTGCACATGATCATGCCGTCTGACTGCTTGGAGAACGGGTTGGGGCAGGAGATAGAAGGTATCGTGGGCGAACGGAGCCCATGGAAGCACCACTCACCAGATATCCCTGAGGCTGGGCCTGGAAAAAGACCGACTGAAGCGACCCACTGGCGGCAGCTACGGAAAACCTACCAAACTACTGAATTAAACCGACGCCTAAGCAATGAAGCCCATCGGCTCACTAAACGTCACTAACCAACGAGCGGCTCGCAAACACCATGAGACTCTCATGCACAGACCTCCATACCTCGTCACCTAATGAAGATGGCTGACCCCAGCCTCGGACTTGCCGACCACGCAGTGCCCCACTATGTTACATCACAGATGGAACAAGCAACACTATGGGGACAGTGACATGCATAAGGACAGGTCTATCACCGGTGGTTTTAATTTTTACTTTAATTTTTACTTGTTAATCTTTAAATATTCACGCTTACTACTGCACACTATACTGCCCTGTTAATTAAGCTATCCTCTAGCTGATGATTGGTGCCAGGAGCTTTGTTAATGAGCGACCTCAACTTGAATACATGTTTAATCTCATGTCCTAAAATACCTACCTGCTAGCACGTTGTATAGAGCTCTTTGTGGCATTACCCAGCTTGAATCCTCGACACAAGTAATCATATTCAATAGGCAGCATGTGGCAGTACTCTAGTTTCCCTCCATAAGCAACGAATATAACCTCTTCGTTAACACTTCATGTCTTATATAAAAAATGTGCAGCAATCTTAACATGTATAATGATATTACTCATGATACTCTGTAACGCAATCTAATAACATGTTAATGCCAAGCTATGTACTGAATAATGCACTACCAAAATAAAGAATTATAAAAAAAAACAATCCTATCCTTGGTAACATGGTTTCCATCACTTTCCCCACTACTGAAGTAAGGCTTACTGGCCTATAGTTGCCCGACTCCTCCCTATTACCTTTCTTGTGAATGGGCACAACATTCGCTAACTTCCAATCTTCTGGGACTACTCCTGTTAACAATGATTGGTTAAATAAATCTGTTAATGGTTTTGCTAGTACACCACCAAGCTCTTTTAATAGACTTGGGTGTATTCCATCAGGTCCCATTGACTTATTTGTCTTTACTTTTGACAGTTGAAATAGAAACTCTTCCTCTGTAAACTCATGTGTAATAAATGACTCATTTATCAGTTTTCTTAACTGAGGTCCCTTTCCTTCATTTTCAGCTGTAAATACCGAAAAGAAATATTCATTGAGGCAGTCAGCTAGACCTTTATCCTCTTCTACATACCTTCCTTCTTTTGTTTTTAATCTAACTAATCCTTGTTTTACTTTTCTTTTCTCATTTATGTATCTAAAAAGTGTTTTATCCCCCTTTTTTACTGACTGTGCTATTTTCTCTTCTGTGTGTGATTTGGAAGCTCTTATAACTTGCTTAACCTCTTTCTGCCTAATCTTCTAGATCATTCTGTCTTCCTCACTCTGGTTTTTTTTTTTATAATCACTAAACGCTAACTTTTTGTTTTTTACTATTTTGACCACATCTGCGGAGTACCACAGTGCTTTCTTGAATTTTTGGCTTTTACTGACAAGTCTAATGCAATTTTCTGTTGCCTTCAGTAGTGCAACTTTTAAATAATCCCATTTCTCTTGGACTCCATTTAAATTGCTCCAGGCTGATAATGACTCCTCTACACATATTCTAATTTTAGAAAAGTCTGTTTTTCTAAAGTCTAAAACTTTTGTTTTTGTGTGGTGTGACTCAGTCACTGTTCTTATATTAAACCACACTGACTGACTGATCACTGGATCCTAAACGTTCACCTACAGTAATATCTGATACCAAATCTCCATTTGTTAACACTAAACCTAGTATGGCCTCTTTACGAGTTGGCTCCTCAACGACTTGTTTTAGAGGCAATCCCAGTAGGGAGTTTAGAATATGTGTGCTCCTGGCACAAGCAGCTATTTTTGTTTTGCAATTCACATCAGGAAGATTAAAGTCACCCATGATGATAACTTCCCCCTTCATTGTCATTTTAGCTATTTCCTCAACTAGTAGATTATCTAACTCTTCAATTTGTCCTGGGGCCTAAAAATCACACCTACACGAGTTACTGTGTGATTACCAAATTCTAACGTAACCCAAACGGACTATGTTCGTCTCACTAACTTTTATTAGGTTAGATTTTATGCTATACTTCACATACAGGGCCACCCCTCCCTCTTTCTTGCCTTCCCTGTCTTTTCTATATAAAGAGTATCCTGGTATTGCTATGTCCCAGTCATTTTTCTCATTATACCATGTCTCAGTAACAGCGACTAAATCTATACTATCAGTTGCCATTATTGCCACAAGTTCATGGATCTTATTCCCCAAACTGCGAGCATTTGTAGACATGACTCTAAGCTTATCATTTTTTAACACACTTGCTACAGGCACCTTCTGTCCTTGTTTTGGGGGACAATTGGATTGATGCTTTATCACCCTTTTGCCCCCCCTCCTAGTTTGAATACAACCTCTGAACTGCTCACTGAGAACATTTGTTCCCTTTTGAGAAAGATGCAAACCATCTTTTTTTGTACAGTTTATTTCCATTCCAAACAGAGCTACCATGAGAAATAAAGCCAAATCCTTTCTCCCGACACCATTCACCAAGCCTCGGTCCGGGTGATTCACCGTCAGAGGGGCACACGTGAGGTATCTCCGTGATCACCGGCGGCAGCTTAGCCTTAGTGTGTGTTTTTATTATATTTATTTTGCAACTCACGTTGTTAAAGTAAAAATTGAGGTTAGGCTTCTATAGGGGTTGCCTGGATTTGATTAAACCATAAATTGCACTGTACCCAGGAACAATGTTTGACTCTAGGTATTCATTTTGTAGCCTAAGATCATATGGATCTAGAAATATGATACAAGCCAAATTTTATATGTGTGTGTATATGTGTATATATATAGTTTTTCATTTAAAGCTCTGTTTAACATGTACCTTAATTATATCCTCTGCTTTTATGCAGGAATTTGGGAACGATGACGATCGCAAGACAAACCTGAGGTGAGCAACATATGTTGAATTCTTTTTAATAATTTTTAATTATATGCGTTTGTCTGTAATGCAACTTTCATTAAAGGGTTAATCGAACTAAAAACAAATGTTTTCATAGAATATTGGTTTTGGTTGAACAACTCTCTCTGTGATGGTCCTGTCAGGACGAACCAGTGGCCCAACATGCAGAATTAAGTAAAACATGTAACAAAGACAAACCGTAACAACGTATTACCGGGCCTTAGAATGGACGGATTTAACATGATAGAAATAACAGTCATGAGCCGAGGTCAGGATTACAGAAAGGAACAAATACAATAAGAACAAAGCCAAAGGGTCAGGGATACCAGAAATACGAGAAGTCAAGCCAAGATCAATAACCAAAAAACAGTATCAGGAATGCGCTCTCGGATAACCGACAGGGCACTGAACCATTGCAGGTTTGGGTTTAAATAACCCAGTAAACCCTGCTAATGGCTGTTTTGGGTCCCATGACCCCAGAACGTGTGTGCACGGTGAAAACGTGATGCCGCATGCACGTTCACGTCACTAGTGATGTAATTGTGGGCGGCGTTATTATATAGCGCTGCCTGGCAGCAGCTGGCGTCCTTCCCAATGCTGGACTTGGCCGCTGTATTAAGAACTGCACTGAGGGCGAGGCAGCCACTAGAGGCTGGTTTAACCCCAAATGTAAAGGGGTTAAAACCTGAGGGACCTGGCACCCAGACCACTTCATTGAACTGAAGTGGTCTGGGTGACTATAGTTTCCCTTTAAGAAGAGATACCATAGATTTCAATATAAAGTGGAACAAAAAGTTACACACCATCAGTAATATTTGAAAAGGCAATAAAGAGCCTCGCACGCATTCAGCCAGTCCATAGGAAAGCATTTTCAATGCTTTCCTATGGACGCTGGCGTCTTCTCACTGTGAAAATCACACTGAGAAGTGCGGAAGCGCCTCTAGCGGCTATGTTTACAGAAGAAAGGGTTAACCCTAGATGGACATAGCACCCAGACCACTTCATTGAGCTGAAGTGTTCTGGGTGCCTATAGTGGTCCTTTTAAGTGCACCTTTGGCTGGTGCCTCCTCCCATTCACAGACCTGCAGGAAGCATTCAGAGGGGTTTTGCGCCCAGCTGGAGGTGCAGACCGGGCAGCTGTAGCGGGAAATCACCAGAGGTGGCATTATAAAAGTAGAGCCAACTCTGCTTTCTGATCAACAGTTGCAAACGAAATTAGTTTGTAGTAAGCAAATTTATTTTGCTATTGTTAAAATCATGTATAAACGATTCCAAGTATGTATACATGATTCAGCATATTGAAAATTGGCCTCAAATAACATCCCCTGGATGTACTCTGACTGTACCTTTCCTGGTTAAACAATGGGTTATCTTCCAGTAGTTGGTATTTGAAGATGTAGAAAGAAATGAGTTACATAAATTCCAGTTATTCAGTGTAGCGGTTATAGTTATCACCACAAGGTGGTGGTAGCAAGTCAAGTTAGAGCTGTAAAAAGACCCAATGGAGTTTATATACTAAATTCTTACTGGCCTTCAATGCTGCTCTTTTTAGATCATACTGTTCTAGAGGAAAGCAAATCAAATCACTTGACTTGGCTTTCATATTGTATACATGTGTTTTGGGCATAACAATAGAGAAATTCTCACTTACAAGAATTCAAAATGACTTATGATTGCCTTAAACCAGGGTTGTCCAAATATTAGATACCCAGTTATTATTGAACTACAGCTATGATGCGTCAATAGCCTTATGGTCAGTTGAGCATATGTAGGTGCCATGCCATCAGACTCTGCTGTAGCCTTCAGTTCCTTAAGAAGCCCCTGAAAACACACATTTTTAGGATATCCTGCTGTCTTCCTTCTCTCATTACATTTTCCCTCCTAAGTTCCCCTTATTTTAAAGCCCAGCCCTTTCTTTCTCCTTCCACTGTTCGGTTCTTCACCTCTTTTTTACTAGCTTATTTTGACTTTGGCATCTTATCCATCAATCCATCTGAAATGCTGATCTTCCTAATTTTTTGAGCTGTGCCCTCTTCACCTCTATAAATATCAGTTACTTGTTATAATTGTAAAGTCCTGCAGAATATGTTGGTGCTATATAAATGCTAATGACACATTTAAAAAAATAATAATTCAGAAGTGGATATATATCTGCACTACAAGCAAAATATTGGGAAAAATATGTTAA